TAATAACCCTTTGCACTCCTATGTCGAGTGTAGCTCCACATCACATTTTTCTTGAATATTATAAACACTACAATTTACAGATTATTAACACTAAACCTACCGACACATAATATGTACTTAATTTGAAATTAAAAGTGAAGTTAAAAAGTAAATAGACAAACGACAAAACATAAATTAGTACACACATTTATTCTTTATCTTGATGAAAATCAATGCCGATTTCAAGGAATGTACTTTCACAAAATGTGTACCTTATAATAAGAAACTTGTGAAGCGGTCATTTGAGCGGTTTGATAGTTTTAGTGTTAACATCAATTCATAATTAACCCCTCAAACTATTATTTTCCCAGCCAAGGGTTAAAAATTGTTCCGTAAAAGAACAATACATGTATTGCAGAAAATAATTAAAACAACCCCTAAAAATCATCCAAATTCTATTGATATAATCACAAGTGTAAAAATATAAAAAAAGCAATTTAAAAAAAATCCCAACAAATAAGATTCATATCAAAAAGTTTTATGAACCAAAATCAACAGTGGAAAAGTAATGAGAGTACATTTTGCCACGAAACCATAGAATCATCGCCACGATGGATAATAACGTTCAATCAAACAGGAACGTAATAATCGTTGCAGAATACCAATCAATTATTTTCCAACGCGTAATAAATGTTTAAAGTAATACGCGACTAATGAATCCGCGTAATTGTAGGCCGAGCCCTGATTGAAATATATTTGAGTATTTACCTCGCTGCTGGAACGTTAATGAAATTAATTTCAGAGAAGTAATTCGCGTACCACGCTGCAACCGCAATGCCAACATATTTACGTTGTTTTCATCATTCTTCCGGAGGGGGCGGGGCAGAGTTTGCATAAACGTGCATGATTATTCCGGATGAACAGTCGCCATTGATTTCCGGATACATGCGTAAATTTGAAGTTCGAAAACCGTGAATCGCCAAAATTATATTGCGTTTTCGCGTTTGATAACCGTGAAATTAACCAACCATCGACTTTTTCAATACGGTATTCATTTAGGAAGTAATGGCTCTTTTTATCTCTGTTTTTAGGTTTTTTCTTGCTGCCTCACTGAACTTCATGTCTGATTAATTTCGGTTTGTGGTACTTTGTCAGGATTTTTTGGGAAGCAGAACATTTCACGAATATTAAATACATATGTTGTATACCTCTTGTTTATTGTGGATTTGTATATTGTGGATGTTGAAAATTTCTTCATTTCGTATATTTTTTTTTTTGTGTATAATTATTGTCGGAGTATGGGTTTTAAAAACACGTTTCTAAAGTATTCTTTCAATATACATATCTGCATATTGCACATCCTGCATATGTGTTCTAAATAGCTTGTACTGTTTAGTAATTTTAATGATTTATGTGTCTACAAGTCTAATATAAATTTTAGCAAATTCTCTTATATTCCGCGTATACTATCCATAATATATTACAAATGAATTTTAGTGATATTCGTCGACACAACCTCCCCAATCGCAACGACCCCAAACGCCAAAAAACCATATCGAATGCCGTTTACCGTTACAAAATACAAATACTAAATATCATTCGATAATTCGAAACAATTTGCTTAAGCCGTTAATCCCTCGCAACTTGCAACAGGCTGCAACCATCTCCAACGCTGCCACAGCACAGACATACAGACAGATGGATTGAAGCAGGTTGAAATCCAGCAGAAACGGAGGGTTGCTCGCAAACACGCCAGATTACCGGTATAAAATGCTAAACCCGCGGCTGCACGATTCCCCAGCGAGCGGATTACCGCGGAAGTTTTGACGCGAGGCGAAGCACAAAAGAATCAAAGCGGCAGAATAGGGCGAGGCGAAGGGAGAGAGGAGGCCTGAAAAGCGGCTTGGATCGGGGCCGCGTTTGAAGTAGCATTTCCTTGGCACAAACGACCCTCTTAATCAATTGCTAGCGCCTTTATCGCGGCTCTCGAGCGCCATCCACACCTCTCCGCCTCGCGCCGAAAGTGTAAAGCGGCTGGCTAACAAGCAGCAACTTCGATAAATCTCGCTCGTTCCCGGGCCACCTTTTTCAGAAACAACACCACCAAAATGTAATAAACTTCAACAATTTTGTTTGGTACTACACCTTTATCAAATCCAAGGACACGTCAGTTATTGAGAAGTTATTTGTAAAGAAACAGGTTGACACTAGGTTTAGACATTTCTTATATACACTACCGTCCATAAGTATCCGGACACTTGATTTCGTTACATAAAACATAGTTGAACTTTGTACGAAAGGTATTTAGGGTTATATCATTTGTAATAATTATTATTATCTTTTTTGAGGTGTCATAACGTAATAGAATTAATTTTTAAGTACAAATTATGCAATGAAAGTGTGAAAGTAAAATTCATGTCCAGAAGTACAAAATCCATACTTATGGACGGTAGTGTACGTACGGCATATTTCACGCTTGTTCTACAGTTTGACTATTTTATAAATATTTAAATAATCTCTGAAAGACAATATCGAAATCTGCAAGTATTGTACAGTATATCGCGACAAGTTTAAAGGATCTGGTTGCCGACGACGAACACGACCGAAGGAATACGAAGGCTCGTCCTTGAAAAGTTGTCGGTATTCAGAGGGTTCTTCGATATGTTTCAAGTGTTTGTAAACTATTGGTAGATGTTTAGGTTCCCTCAATGGAGATAAGAATGGAGGTAACGCTATGCACTCAACAGTTTCGGTTTAGTTCGTCTGTAGCTTCTTTTCCATCGAGATATGAGTTCCAAACGAGAATTATCAATGGAAAAACGTTTCAGTATTCTGACCTTCGCAGAAAAAAAATCGATTTTAGTTACTGCTGCAGATACTTGAATAACTTTCATGCAACGCGAATGCATATTTCGCTGGTGTCCGGATACTTATGGACGGTAGTGTACCTATCTCTACACGTGTCAATTTGAACGAATACATTTAAAGAAAAACTACTTAGAAATTAATATAATACTATAAAGTGTATAATATATAAAACTATAAAGAGCTAAAAAATGAGGCAAATAATGTCCCGAAGAAAAAACGTCAGGACACAAATATTATAGAGTAACGGCAGTTAGTAAATCTGGATTCGATCGCGGTGAAAACGCTTATGATGCGAGACGTAGGTCGCGAAAGCGAAAAGCTCCCCAGAAGCTCGGTCCTGGCCGAACAGGGTGTGCAGCAGGGAAAACTTATGAAAATCCGGGATTTATCGCGGCATGTGCGAGAGCCAGCCGCCTCCACGGTTCTGACAAATCGTCCGGAAGCGAACGTTCGATCGTTCCTGAATCCTCTTTTCGTCGGAGCCTAGGAGCAGGACCCTCTGTCCCGTGGACCAGCTGCCTTTGAAAGCTCTGATAAAAGTTTTAATCCGTTTCGTCCCGCTTACCCTCCTCTCTCTCTATTTCTGTCCGTGGCTTCTCCATTCACCGGCTTCCACCCCTTTTGTCCGTTGTTTTCGCGAAAAATCGAAAATTCGAACCTGTAGCTTGTAACGGTTTCGTGTAAAACTTGCAATTTTAATTCTTTTTGGTAAAACTTTCTACGCATACTTTTAAAAAATATCCTAAAACGTTTAAAAATTGACTGCATTGGTGGAGTCGATTGAAAAAGCTCGATAACGATATACGGCACATCAGTACGGTTCACAATTATAATTCCGACATAAATAAATAAATAATCTTAATTTGTATTCACGTGCAGTCGCCATTATAAATCGTTACCGATTCAATATGTAAATACCCCGATTCTTTTATCGTTGCAACAAATTTTCAATGAAATCACAATATTCGGTTAACTTAAATCAAGATTTATTTAAAAAATACTGTTATACCGAGACCCACAAATTCTAGGAGAAAGCAGCCACCACCGTGGTAGCCGATAAAGCGAAATAAATGGGCAGCTTATCAGCGAAAAATACTTGCCGCGAAAGTATTATCGATTATGCGAGGGATCGGCGTATTTCAGTTAAATAATTTTGCATTAGAGCACACGCGCGTGCAAATGCGCCAGCTAATCTGGCCGGGGACGCACGCGTGCACTTCGAAAACGAGAAAATTAATTGCCATCCCAAAAATACGAGGGGACGATCCCCATTATAATAAATTCAGGGGTAAGTTTCGCAGAGGCTACGACCCTGCCTGAATTTATGTACCATATAAGCCAATTATTTATCGTCCCTGTGACTCCGACTACTGTAACCCTTTCTCCTTTTATTTTCATTTCAATCTTTGTTCATTGTCTTATTCTACTTAGCTTTGGTCAATGAACTGTTTTCATGTGGAGTTTCGAATGTTTAATAAAATTAAGATTCTTGAGAGAGATTGTGATATGTTTGATGTCGATTTTGATGCAGAATTTTTAGCTGTAAATGTTTTCTTTAATAATGGATGTAGTCACATGTGGGGATTTAGTTTTGTATTGGATTGACGATATTTCAAATGATATAATTTAGTGATATTTTGAAGTTGATGAGAATCTTGAATTTTTAAAATTTAGTACGTAAAATTGAAATTTTCAAATTCTTGAATTTCTAAGTTTAAAAATCTTGTATTTTCCAATAGCAAACATTTTGAAATACTAAATTTATTGTGTTCTTTAAAATTTATTATCTCTCTTGTATTCATAATAATACTATTATTATTATTATTATTACAAAGAATACACTATTACCGAATAATGTCATTAAACAACAAACAAATTATTAAACAAATATAACTCAACAATCGCAAAACGCAATTCCCACCAAAAACCAAATTCTATCCAGCAAAGCAAGTACTTGTTAAAACTGAAGCGTACACGTCATTCAATTTCCCTTTATCCCATCTCGAACAGCAACAATGAACTTTAACCTACGTAAACATAATAAAAGGATCAGAAAGGAAGAGATAATGGATGTAGTTCTGTACAGTCGAAGTTCTTCCAGTATTTCGACCACGGGCCAGAGGAGAAAGAACAGCTTATTAAAGAGGACTTACCTGTGCCAGCCGCCCCCAGCCTCAGAACAGCGTCGCCTTGAAGAGAGATGGAGAGGGTGGCCGTGTCCTCGAGGCGTGCAAGAACTTCTTCGGGAATGTCCTCGGGTTCGCGGAGGCGGAGGGTTACTTCGCCCCCGCCTCCGCCACCCTGACCACCTCCACCCCCGGGACTCGTCGACGCCGAGTACATGAACACAGATCCGTACCCATGTAATGATTGCAACGGCAGCCTGACGCCGCCCACTTCCCCGACCGGACCCTGAAAAACGACCGAATCGTGTTGGGAATACATTTTTCGGTATATTCCAACTGTTTAATTATCATAGTTTCACATTGCTAAGTCTTATGTATAGCAAAAAGATTAGACTTTCATCTAAATCTTTATTGATACACTAAACCGTTTTTCCGAACAATTGTATAAGTATAAATCAATACTCTTCGCAACTCTGAACCTTGCACATAGGCTGACTCAGATTTTCTGAAAATTTTGTATTTATCCATAATACTGTATTATTTATTCATATGTATTTGATGTTACTAAGAAATACATCAATCTTTATTGTGACTAAAAAATCTAACAGAATCGCAAGCATCCACGAGTTTGTTCTCCACAAAGTCGTCCTCCATTTTGGAAATTCGGAGGATGAAGAAGATGGCCGATCTTTGACTCCGGCGCACGAACGACGCCATGAAACGCTTCGTCCGTGATTTGTAGCGGAATAAAATTGAAATAGTTCTCATTTTAAGAGGCAATATATTAAAACGTCTAGCCGAATCGTAAAATAGCAACGATCGGCACGGTCCGCTAGGTTCGTCTCATTAGAAGGCAAGAAACTCGCGTTTCCTTTTCGTCCCGAGCGATAACTCGGTTCCGTGAACGATGGAGGATGTATTCGAAACGATCGAACGCGTAATATTAAATTTAAGAGTTCGTTCAGTTTGCCGTGTAGACCCAAGCGGTCGTATTCCCGCGAGAGGGACGCGGCTTCGTCCATCCGTTTTCCTCGCCGTCGATTTCACGTCGAGCGTTCTTTTACGAGCTGAAATATTTTGCCAATTTCGCCCCCGTCCATGCAAATTTCGATTCGCGAACGTCAATATTTGCTGAATTGCGACGAAAAAGGATTTCGATGTACCGCCACTCGATTCACCGTCAAACGAGAACTAGCCAGCTTTTGGCTTCTCTTGCAAACCATAATATCCAACGTCGAAAAAGAACTCGATGGACACAGAAATGGGCAAGAAAAATATCTATAATGTTAAATATCTTTGGATATACAGCACGGACAAAAGTCCTCTGTTTTCACAAACGGGAGACTTGTAGACAATTTTCTTTTCATAGCTACAATATTTTTTCCCTTAATGCAAGTTCTATGTCATATGTGTAATTAGGGATTGATACGTGAAGTACATAGTTGATAGAAAAGAGAGAGAAGGTAGTGATGGGTTCTATTTTTCTTTATTTAAATGTACAGGTCAGGAAATCATTACCTTATTCTAGTTGGAAAAACATCAAGATTCATCAGCTACCAAGAATGATGTATGTAACATGTCATACGTGTAATTAAGGATTCATAAGTGAGTCAGGTACATGATACCAAGGAAGTATTGAAAGCTAGTTATGTATGTAGTTAAATGAACTAAGAAATGAGCCATCACTCCACTCTAGTTGCAAGATCATCAAGAATCATCAGCTACTAAGGGTGACGTATGTACCATATCATACATGTAATTAGAGATTGATAGGTGAATCAGATACATGATACCAAAGAAGTGTTGGAAGTTAGTTATGTATATAGGTAAATGAACTAGGAAATGAGTCATCACTCCACCCTAGTTACAAGATCATAAAAAATTATCAGCTACCAAGGGTGACGCATGTATGTACCATATCATACATGTAATTAGAGATTGATAGGTGAATCAGATACATGATACCAAAGAAGTGTTGGAAGTTAGTTATGTATATAGGTAAATGAACTAAGAAATGAGCCATCACTCTACCCTAGTTACAGGATCATAGAAAATTATCAGCTACCAAGTGTGACGTATGTACCATATCATACGTGTAATTAGGGATTCATAAGTGAGTCAGGTACATGATACCAAAGACATGTTGAAAGCTAGTTATTATAGTCAAATGAACTAGGAAATGAGTCATCGCTCCACCATAGTTACAAGATCACCAAAAATCATCAGCTGCCAAGAGTGCTGTATGTACCATGTCATAAGTGTAATTAAGGATTGATATGTGAATGAAATTCCAAATAAATACTCAGAGCAAGTTATTATTTAAATGAGCTAAGAAACGAGCTATCACCCAGTTGCAAGATCATCGAAAGTCATCATCAGCTAAACATCCTTATCGAGCGTAATCGGACGTTCTACAGTTCAAACAATTTTCCGCGCAGTCAGCATGATAAGACAGCTTTACGAGCGTGTTGACATAGATCCGAAAAGTGCACAAAACATCCCCGCTATCGCGAGAGCCATTGTAGAACGACGGTTGCATCGCTGACGAGGAGGAGAGTCAGGACGTCTCGTAGGACAAACAACCGGAAACGCGGCCATAACAATACGGATACGCAACCAGCGTGGTTCTCTGTGTACCGTTTCCGGTGCACGCGAGGTATCGATGCAACATGGACACAAACACCACTGTAAGGTAGATTTCCTGAGTTGTAACGTAAATACTGGCCAAGCTCGTAAAAGGCCTCGACCTATCGACCCTCTCCCAACGCTGCTATCGCGGAATCGATTTCACGTGTTCGGTGAATTATCGAGGGACTACGAAAAACGAGCGTGTGTCAGACTAGAAACGCAGATTTCATATTTGGATTTCGAGGGATCGTAAGTTCTGCTGGACGCTCCAGGCATGGAAATCCCTCGAGCGTTTTACGTGAAAGGGATCGCGATATCGAGAAACGATTGCTTTCAGAGAGATTCGTGTTTTGTAACTGAAATGTGTTCTTTATTGGGAAATAATCGGGGAATGGTGGAAATTTAGAACTGTCGTTTCTGATGGCTTCTCTGCTTAATTTTCGGATTTAACTTGTTAAAGAAGGTTAAAACAAATTTTAGCTACTTAACTTTTTGGGTTTAACGATATTAAAGAAAATGAAGATAGAACTAATTTTATCAAAGCATTTGACTACAATTTTTTTAGGTGGATTAAAATGTGTCTGCACATTTATAAGTACACTAGAAAAGGAGTCAGAAGAAAATGAACATGAAATAAAAGGCAAAAGTTGATGAAATCGGAAAGTATTCAGGATGATACAGTTTAAAAGAGGAAACTTTTATGAACAGTCAATAGAATCTGAATTCCTGTAGCAGCTCGAATAATCATCCGTTTGAAAATTCGTTTAAAAAAGAAACTCGCCACTTCCCAAAAACCACGTTCAAACCATAATCAAACTCGCTTCCCGGCGGAGGCTACCGCTGATAATTTTCCATGCATAATAATACGCGACGAGAAGAATTTGAATAATCCACTTTCACGCTATTTTCCCGTCTGATAAGTCATTAAGCCGCGGGTCGACGAGCGGCCGAGACTTAATGCGGCTCCGAGAGCAATCTGCTTTGTTTCAGCTTCGTTTCATCCGAACGATACACCGCCAAAGAAACGACGAAAGAATGAGCCGGGCAAACATGAAGCAAACGGAAACAAATAAAAATTCCTTCTCATTATTATGAGCATACTGTAATGAGAACAAAACTGCTTGCTCTTATTATTTTTTGTGAGGGATACGAATCTTGTAATTGGGTATGGTTGCAAATTTGGGTGGGTAAAAGGGGTGGATAAGTTGGAAATAAAAATTTTAAGTTCTGTGATGTGGGCTGTGAAGTGACAAGTTGAAGATCGGAGTCATGAAATTTTTAGTGGGGTTGATACTTTAATATGTAATTATAATTTTTTGTAAGTGATTTACAACCAAAATGTATATATATGTATATATGATATGTGGAATGTAGAGAAGTGCAAATTTTGGATTTTTGAGAACATTGAAATTATGCAAATTTGCAAGTATTTAAAATTCTTACATTCTGATATTCTCAAAGTGCAAAATTCTAAATTTCTAAATTCCCAAATTCTATAGCAATTAGATTCTAAAGATTTACAAGATTTACAAAATTTGCAAAATTTACAAAATTTACAAATTCCCAAATTCCCAACAAAATTTACAAAATTCCCAGAATTCCCAGAATTCCCAGAATTCCCAAATTCCAAAGTCTCAAATTCCCAAATACCCAAAATTCCTAAAATTCTCAAATTCCCAGAATTCCCAGAATTCCCAAAATTCTCAGAATTCCCAAATCCCCAAATTCCCAAATTCCCCAAATTCCCAAAATTCCTAAAATTCTCAAATTCCCAGAATTACCAGAATTATCAGAACTACCAGAATTACCAGAATTACCAGAATTACCAGAATTACTAGAATTCCCAAAATTCCCAAATTCCCAAATTCCCGAATTCCCGAATTCCCAAATTCCCAAATTCCCAAAATCCCAAAATTCCCAAAATTCCCAAAATTCCCAAAATTCCCAAAATTTCCAAAATTCCAAAAATTCCCAAAATTCCCAAAATTCCTAAATTCCGAAATTCTCAAATATCAAAAATCCTCAAATCCCCAAAATTTCAAAAATTCTCAGAATTCCCAAAATTCACAAAGTTCCCAACCTCCCAAAATTCCCAAAATTCCCAAAGTTCCCAACCTCCCAAAATCCCCAAAATCCCCAAAATTTCCAAAAATTCCCAAAATTCCCAAAATAAAAAAAAATCCCACTACCAAAATCTCAAAACCAATCTACATCGCCCACAAATCCCATTTCCGCAAAACCACCCCAAAACAATGCCCCGAAAAAAGAAACAACAGTCAAAGTAATTTTTCATCGAAAGGGGTTAAATCGTGGGGTCGGGAAAAATACAGTAGCAGCAGTTTCGCGTTGCAGACGAAACCGAGCGCACGATCTGAACGGTGCAATAAAACATTTTTCAAAACTGCATGAAACACGGCAGCGAGGACCGCGACGCGGAAATAGTCGATGGAGGGGGTTCGCATAAATGTTCCAGCCGATGAATTATTGCCGCGAAATGGCCGTATCCAGTTCGCGAGCGGGGGTGAAACGGGGTTTTCGCGAGCGTGTTGGACACATTGTTTACAAAGTATCTGACCACCGTCATGGCACGAATCCCCTCATTTTTCTGACGTGCGTAAAGTGCGTTTTGTCGTTGCGCCACAGTGCATTAAGCTGCCG